TTGATAAAATATAATGCTATTTTTGCATTTCAAAGCTTAGTCAAGATATTTTTCACATTAAATGCATTTTGTTGTTGTTGTTTTTATACCAACATTCTTTTCTTATGTAATCTGTTATAGAAATGTTTTAACACTTTTTTAATGCCTTTATATTAGGGGAGTAAACAAGTGCATAATAAAAATTAGGTTTCTTCATGAAATTATGTTAAATACATGAACTTCAATAGAGTTAGCGATATACCGCCCCTCCCCTTTGTATCTAAAGTTTAGATGTGTAAAAAATTTATTCTAGCCATTCCTATAGAGGTTCTTAATACCTTTACTTAATTTATATACTATGTTACTTCTTAATAAGAAAAAAAAAATTGGATGTGGGGAGACTTCAAACCTGGCGGTTATTGTGGTTCACAGTGCATTTTTACCAATTTTTTGCAATATTTTTTTTTCAATAAGTTTTATATAATATAATTATCATATTTGAAATTTTCATGATTTCGCCTAATTTGAGATAAAATGTCAAAATATACTTTTGAAGATTTTTGTTGTTGATAATATTAGAAACTCATTTATGTTTGAGGGTCTTGAGGGACTCCAAAAATAATTTTTTTTTTTTAAATTTTTTTGGCGAAGAAAAAATTTTAAATTTTTGAAGATTTTTGAAGACACTTTTAAAGATTTTTTATTGATAATTTTAGGAACTTGTTATATGTTTAAGGGACTCCAAAAATATTTTTTCTTCAAAAAAGTTTTAAAACTAGTGTTTTTTATCATATAAAACACATTAGGAGGTAGCAGCTATATATTTTTTAAATATTGTTTTTGGAACGAACTTATAAGTATGAAGTATTTGTGAGTGAAGTAAGTGTGAACAATTTTATTTTTATGCTCTAACTGGATTAAAAAATATTAAGTAACTTTAATAAAATTATTAATAAATAATAACATACAGCTAAATAAATTTAAAAATTTATCTTAGTAATAAATAAGCTGATAATAATACAATGCACTTACCGTTCCAATCATGTGTTGAATTAAGTATTTAAAAAACCACATAAAATCAAAATTGCTCACATTGTATTTTTATAATAAACACTTTTTATGTTACTTTTACCTGCAGAACCAGAAATCAGCTAAATTACTAATATTTGTTTGTAATATATATATATATATATATATATATATATATATATATATATATATATATATATATATATATATATATATATATATATATATATATATACTAGGTTGGTTGAAAAGTTCGCGGAGCGGCACCTATGTTGCAGTAGTAGAAACAAATTTATAACTGTATTAAACGTATTCATTCTTCGTATGAACGCATAAAAAATTTCAAGTCGATATGTCATTTCAGTCTTTGTTTACAAGCTATTGAAATTAGACGTGTCATAGTATTTTTTAAAATGGAAAATATTGAACATCGTGCTGTACTAAAATTCTTTGTGAAAAAAGGTTTAAAGCCCATGGAAGTTCATAATGAAATGGTAAATGTGTTGGGTGATGATGCTCCTTCAAAAACAACAGTATGCAAATGGGCTGCGGAGTTTCAACGTGGGCGTTCAAGCCTTGAAGATGACCCTCGCTCTGGACGTCCAAAAAGTGCTACTACTGAAGAAACGATTAATGCTGTGCATGACATGGTTATGGATGATAGACGATTGACCAAACGTGAAATTGCTGAGGCTGTGGGCATCTCAGATGAACGGGTATTACACATCTTGCACGATGAATTACGTCTGAGAAAGCTGTTGGCAAGATGGGTGCCGCATTCGCTAACTCTGGATCAGAAACGCACTCGAGTAAAACTTTCTCAAGAACATTTGGCCCGTTTTCAAAAGAATAAAACAGATTTTGTGCGTCGATTCGTAACCATGGATGAGACTTGGGTTTACCACTATGATCCGAAGCTGCGACAACAAACTGCAGAGTGGACAGAACCCGGTTGTTCAGCTCCGAAGCAAGTGAAGGCGTCAAAATCGTCAAAGAAGGTTGTGGCATCAGTTTTTTGGGATGCGAAAGGAATTTTATTAATAGATTACCTTCAAACCGGTAAAACGATAACAGGTGAATATTATAAAAATCTTTTGGACCAGTTGGATAAAAAAATTCGTGAGAAAAGACCTGGTTTGCTGCATAAAAAAATCATTTATCACCAGGACAACGCACCTGCTCATATCAGCGATGTTGCAAAGGCGAAATTGGTCGAATTAAAGTACGAACGCTTGGAACATCCACCCTATTCACCAGATCTGGCTCCGTCCGACTTCCACCTCTTTCCACATCTCAAAAAATTTCTACGTGGAAAGCGTTTCTCATCACATGAAGAAGTCATTGCAGCCGTAAATGGGTATTTTGAAGGCCTTCCGGAATCGCACTTCAGAGATGGGATACATGAATTGGAGAATCGTTGGAAAAAGTGTATTGCTCTTAAGGGAGAATATACTGAAGAATAAAGTCATTTTTTGAATCATAAAATTGTTTTTTCATTTCCGCTCCGCGAACTTTTCAACCAACCTAGTATATACACATATATATAATTTTCACCTCTACACCGACTACAGTCAAGGAGGCTATTTTTGTGATTACAACTCTCTAACTCCAAAAGATGAGCAAGTCCGCTGCACGAGAAGCAACTTAAACAAACAAGTATATTATCACAGCTATCATGCAAGTAACAAAAAAAAGAAAATCAAAATTAATTTTTAGTACCAAAAATTTCGTTCTTATATTATAAATATTAGAAATTTAGCTAATTCCTGATGTAACAGTAAAATATATAAACAATATAAATATATATATATATATATATATATATATATATATATATATATATATATATATATATATATATATATATATATGCATAACAATTCCCAAAATTTTTTCCATAAAATTTTACATGTTTATCTGCCTAAAATGTTTTGTTTGATTTCTTGCTCTTAATGTTATATTCCAATTATTGCATTTGTGATCTCCCAGAAGCTTCATTTTCATCAATTGTCGTTCACAAGCAAGAGTTGGTAATTTTAAAAATAGCTTCAATACAAGATTTGCACAATTCTTTAACATAAGTTGTGCAAAAACTGGTTGCAGATGAAACTTTTGCTATGTATACTTTAGTAAAAAATCTATGATAATTATGTCATAAAAGCATTACACAAATGATCAACCTGCAAATATAATATAGAACTACTTTTAGAACTGTTTCCTTCATTAGTTTATGTGTTGAAGATGTTCCAAATTTAACGCTATTTTTTTCGAAAAGTTATTTATATTTTGTACTTTGCAGTTTTTGTTTAACTGTAAATATTTAGCAAGTCAGATAAATTTAATCAATATTAACATAACTAAAAACTAAAATTATTATAAAAAAAATTATCCTACAAGTTAAATTGCTTAGAGATTATTATTAAATTAAAATATTTTATTATACTTTTTACTAAGTTGATTGAATATTGCAACAAAAAAGTAAAAATGCAGTAAAAAAGAATACTCTTATGCTAAGACTTTCCCTATTTTTTAAGTATAAATATGCAAGTATATCCATTTAAACAGTTTATATATGCAAATATATGCACTTATACAGTTAAAAAAATGCATACTTGCATCATAACAAGCAAGTCTTTAATAACTTTTTTTTATATTACTTTCAAAGAATTTTACTGCAAAAAAATATTTGAACTTATATCAAATATAACTTACTTATATCAAATAAGGATGGTTTGCAAAAAATTGCAATGATTGGAGCCTGGGAACAAAAAAACCCCAAAATTTGAGACGTACCTGCCCCAAACGTGAGAGCAACAAGTTGATAAAATATTTTTTGTACTATTTTCAACAAGACTTACATTTATCCATAAATTTTAAATTCCATTGTAAAATATTTTAGCGCTCAAAAATTATGACCATATAAAAATTGTAACCCCCTCGAATTGAGGGGGATTCAAACTTTACATGGTCATAATTTTTGAACGCTGAAATATTTTACAATGAAATTTAAAATTTATGAATAAATGTAAGTCTTGTTGAGAATAGTACAAAAAATATTTTATCAACTTGTTGCTCTCACGTTTGGGGCAGGTACGTCTCAAATTTTGGGGCTTTTTTGTTCCCAGGCTCCAATCATTGCAATTTTTTGCAAACCATCCTTATTTGATATAAGTATAAACATATAAATGTTTGGAGTTTGCTCCATGTCTGGAAGTTAGCTATTTTAAACACCAAAAAATGCTGGATCCGCCCCTGTATATATATATATATATATATATATATATATATATATATATATACATATATATATATATATATATATATAAAAATATATATATATTAATAAATACATTTATAAATAGTCATAACAGTAAAAACAAATTTTTATATTGAAAAAAAGTTGAAGCAGGGACCAGAAAAATATCATAAATATAGAACATATACAACATAGAGTTTTCAGATATCAAATAACAAATAATACGGTTGCCATATAAAATATACTCTGTAGTTAAGAACCGTAGCCAGAAAGATAAAGGTTGTGGGCCTTAACGACTGTAGAGTCACTGACAGTAGAGCCAAGCCATTCAGTGTTATGAGCATTAAAGTCACCAACAACAAAAAACTTGGCTGATCAGAATTTAAAATTTAAATATTTAAAACAATAAAAGGTTTTAACAAAGAAATGTTTTAGGTTGCATTGGAATAAAAAAAAACTCATTAAACAAAACGTGTTATTCATAAAACGCAATTTAATAAAAAAAATATATAAACTGTTTATATATAAGAGAAATTATATTTATTTCAATCAAATAGACAAAAAGAGTGTTTCTCATAAAAAAATACTATATACAAAATTACAAAACCTGTACAAAAAGACAATTTCGTTTTTCTAAAACAGTTGTTAATAAGTTATTAAATTTGTGTATGAAGAGAGCTATTCAACCAGCAAATAGCCGACTTTTATTACGTATTTCAAATTTTCGACTTTTTTTTTAATTCAAATCTACTAAAGTGAGCTAGTTGTGTACACAAAAAACAAAACAAAAAAAAACAGGTAAAAAAAAAAAAAAAATTAAAAGATTTACAATATATGAAAGATGTCAATTTGCAAATATAAAAGAAATTCTGAACACAATCTTCAAACACAAATCATATAAAATACAAGATAAACATTGATACAAAACGAGGAATTAAAATTCATGCTGGACATCAGCATCCCTTCAACGACAATTTGCTTGTGCGATGATTTGTCTCTTAACCATAAGTTAACAGTTGTCTGGAAAAATTACTAGTTGTTTTCCCCAGCAAATTTAAAAGGTAAGAAGATAGCCCATGTCCAGCACTTATTCTAAGAGTTGTATAATGAATAATTCTGCTTGAACAATTTGGTATATCTTTGGTGTCGTAATTTTTCAAAACTTTGTATTTAGTAATAGAAAAATAAATATAAAAAGAAAATATATAAATATTGTATCAAATCTTTCTGTCTCAAAACTAAAAAAAAAAAAAAAATTTCTCAAATTTCAATTATATTAATTCCCAATCGTTATGATCAGAAAAAATGTCATTGTAAGAAGGAGCCCGGCAGCTTAAGCTACTACCATAAAATAACATAGTCTGTCTTTGATAAAGATGGCCTTGACGATCAATTCCCCAAAGTTCATCGTTAGCGCTTACACTAATTTGTTCAAAATTACCTGGAACTTTTTTCCAGTAGTCACCCATAACGTTACTGTGAGATACACCAAATCTACACAAGACGTCGCCATTTGGGCAGAGTCCCCAAACATGGTTTTTGCTTATCGCTAAATCTTTGCAACTAGATTCAGAGACTAATTCCCATGACGTTCCAATCCAAAAATTCTCAGAGATATCTTTTCTTGTATAGACGTTGTTCATATCATCACATGCCCAAACTATTCGATCATCGGGTCCCACAACAATATTTACAAATTTACTGCCATCAAGCGGACAGCCTTCAACCGATATCCAAACAGGAGAGAATCCATTAATGCTTCTATCTTCAGAGCGACTGATTTGAAACCAAACATTGCCTTCAAGATCAACTGACCACACAACAAAATTACCGCAACAAATGCTGTTTAAACGTTTATTTTCAAGACCTATCATATTAACTTTGAGCCATTTAAGACCTTGAGCGCATACATCAGATATTCCTATTCTTACATATACATCAGGACCAGCTGTTAAAGCCCATAAAGAACGCGGTCCTGCTGAACAGTATTTCAATACTACTTTAGCTGGAGGATGAACATTATAACTTTGACCGTTTGGTTTATAACAAAATAACAACCCATTAGGTTGCATGGCCCAGATAAAACCTCTGTTCATATCAGCACCACCGGCAGTTACACAAGTCCAACAAGAGGATTCTGACATATGTGATGGTATAGCTGGCTCCCACCTTGTACCTAACAAATGACCATGCGCAATATGTAAAGTCCCTTGCTTACCTAGAATAATTACACCAGCTATGTCATTTGCAATAATCATTTTAGGCTCGTTTCCTTTCCTAAAATATGAAAGTGTAGAAGAAAATAGTGATATTTCCGCTGATTGATGATCTCCTAATGAGAGCTGGTACCAAGTACCACCTAAAGGATTTTCTTTAGTAATATCTTCGTTAAACCATACACCATAGTCACAGTCAATAATCCAACAAACATTTTTTGCTCCAAGCATTACATGAGTAGCACTGATTCCTGGAAGCTCACACCAGTCAGAGTGCTGATTATCATCTTGGAGACATGCATTTTCAAGTTCTCCTAAATAAAACTTAATTAAATCTATATTTTAAATCTTAATTTACATCATGTAACGCATGAACAACTATAATATACTACTACTGCTAATTAAAATAATTGGTATTAATTTAACTATTTAAATTAAATTTTAATTAAATTTAATGTAATTAAAGCCTTAATATTGTTTTGATACATTATATAAAGCACGACTGCAATTTACCTTTAAATATTTGGACATGATTGTATATATCTAATGCCCAAACTAGGCCATTCAAACTAGTTATTTGTACTAAGTCACTTGCCACTTTTACAGTTATCCAACCGCTACCTGATGGTTTCCAAGAAGTGACTCCAGTTCTTACAAAAACATCACCATTCGTCTTGATTGCCCAGACACAATCTTCATCAACAGCAATGCAATGGATATTTTTTTCAAACGGTTCCCAACTATTACCTATTTTATGTGCAAATGCAGAAAAAAAAAAAGATTTGAAGAAAGTTCCAAAATCAAATAACAAATAAATATATAAAGGAATTAAAAAAAAAAATAAAATAAACCTTGAGGATTATTTTCTCGAACAGATGTTCTATAATATGCAACCCTTTGCCTGTCAACGCACCATACAACAGAACCATGCTGATTACATGCAATCTGAACTGCTCGCCCATCTAGTTTTTTCCAGATGTATTCATGCATTCCAGAACGTACTTTAGAAGGAGTATAAAACACATGATCATGTTGATCAACAGACCATAAAAGAGTTGCTGAACAAGCTACACCTTGCAACTGACCACAAGCTGGCCCTTCCACTTCAGCCCAGCTATCTGCAAGATAACGCAGCCGTTCATTAACAACTTCAGAAAGAGCTTTAGGAGAATGAAGAGGACGACCTTCCATATCTGAGCCACATGGAGAGTTAGGAAAACTTGATTTATTTTTAGTACGCCGTTTTTTTTTAATTGGTATTCCTCCTTAAGTAAAAATTTATTATGTTAAATTGTTGATTGTTAAATTTAATTTCCTTATTTAAAAAGGTCATAGCAGGTTTTAATATCATAAGTATAAATCAGGTGTAAATTACAAAAACAAAAAAAAAAACAAAAAAAAAATTCAAGCAAACAAAATTTAAAACTTTAAGCTAATTATTTCAATTGTTTTACCAGAACATCATACCAGAAACATCAGTTTAGTATTCTTTAGGTAAATCCATATTTTGTTTAAAATTACATACACAAAGCCAAGATTTATTTTATGTTATATACATAATTGTGTATATATATAACATATATTAAATCTTAGCTTTATGTATGTCATTTGTGCATGTCATTTTTAATAAATTATGAATTTACCTAAAAAATACTTATATGATTCTAAACTTTTAGAAGAGACTGTTGAAGAAGAAACTTCATTCTGGTTCCAACGCTAAACTGATTTTTTATTGGGGAAGATCTTTTTTATTGAGTCGCAACATTTGTAGCGGAGTTAAAAAAAAAATTGCGACTTAAAATTTCTCGGTATTGCACGTGCATGTACAAAATATTTAACCTTCAAAAAATTTTTCATATATTTGGCAAAAAAAAAAAAAAAAAAAATTGATTATTGCGTAACATTTTTTAAAGAATTCAAAGAATTTTTCAAATCCTTTATAAAAAAAAAATTCTTCGAAATTGGCAATGCAATACAAATTAAATTACGAACAACTTACGCTCATCAAATGATGAGCGTAAGTTGTTCGTACAAGACAAGTGTAAATAAAATAAATAATAAAAGTGTGCCATAATTTAAATTATTTTGTGCGTCAATAGTGGCTATTGATACAGTTAACAAAAAAGGTTTGTGGTTAATTTAAATTTGAACAATATTCAGGATAAAATTTAAAATAGATTGTTACTATAAAAAATGTTTCAATTTTATTATAAGTCTGGTGTTTCAGTTGATTTCCTATTTAAAAATAAATACATTAAAGTTACAGTGGACTTTTATGTGAGTATCTTTTTTCATACAAATAACTAATTTAATTTTTTTTTCAAATTTGCTTCTCAATGTACACTTTTTCATAAACCAATAAATTTATTTATTTTAAACAGCGGTAAACAACTTGACCATGGATAAAAGGCGGCAAAAGCAGAGATCGTCAGTTTTTGAATATTTCTCAGTCACTGTTGATGATAAGTTTTACATATGCCAAGTGACCAAAAACAGTGAGGAAGAAAGATGTGGTGTCAATATCAGCACATATTCCAGAGAAGGTAGTAGTGCCCTGTTTCGAGTATCGAATTTAAAACGACATCTACAACGTTATCATCCAAATGTTTTCAATCTGTTATTGGAAAGGATAAGCAGACGTGTGAACGTGAAGTTGAACGTACACCAAGTTTTTCATATCAAACACCTGTAACCAATTTTAGATCAAGCTACATGCTGGGGCAGTACTTATTTGATGGTTGAGCGTATCATTGAACTAAAACTTTTTCTTACTGATATGGTTAACCCAGCCGTAACATTGACAGATACGCAATAGAAAAAAGTAATAAAAACTTAAATGTCTTCTTCGTGAACCTTATTTCACCACAAAAAAACTACAAACAGCAAATTTAACTGCTGGTATGTTTTATAAAGAATGGTGTCATCTTTTTTTCCGTTTTTCTAAATCTAATTGTAAAATAGCTTATGGAATTAAAAATTCAATGATACGCAGAGAAAGTACCCTCCTCGACAATGACATCTTACTAGCGGGTATCTACGTTAATCCTATGGTCCAAGTGTTACCTACTGGAGAACGTCAAATTAGAGCTAAAGATGCTTTGTATTAATTAGCCATTCGAATCAAAGGTATAGGTTTGCAAGATGAACAACGTATTGATATATCTTCATCTTCATCAAATCTAATTCCTGGGGCTGTTGTAGAAGATGATTTTGAAAAATATTTGGACAAGCAAGAGCAATCTAAGCGTTGTTGCTTAGGGTTAGGTTGTAGCGGAAAAACTACAACAGTCTTAAGTAAATTTAAAATAGACTTTTACCAAGCTTTAAAAGAGGTAGAGAAATTTGACTGTTCTTCAAATTTAGCAGTAAACGATGCAATTCATAAATACCCTGAGATTATTCAAGAGGCTGCTCTGACCGCGATGGCATTGCCGCCGACATAAGTCTCTGTAGAACCGTTATTTTCTGCACTCAGAATCATCAGATCCGATTTCAGAGTATTAATGAAGCCGGATATTATTGAAGCTATTTTATTTCTAATGACAAATAATGTAGATTAATTTTTTTTTTGATTTTGTTATTTTATAAAGTTTTGTTTATTGTTAAAGGAATTAATAAAAATAAATAAAATATTAGATGATATTGATTTATTTCTATTAATTATCAATTTTCACCATGTTTATAAATATGACCTAAACAAATATTTAGCTTTAGAGTCGGAGTTGGAGTTGTACTCTGAAAATTTCAATGATTGGAGTCAGAGTTGGTACTTTTTTTTTACGACTCCACACCCCTGCTTAATTCCCTGGCGAGATTCAATACCTCAATATTGAATATTCTTTTTTTTTGGTGCTAAACTTTAAGTTCTTTTATTATGATTTACTACAATTTTTTCATTTAAGTTGGCCAATTTTCACTTTAATTTGGCATGTTTTCATTTTAATTTGGCTAATTTTAATTTTAATTTGGCATGAATTTGTTTTGCTAAGTGTAAACTTTGTGTGAAATAACAAATTAAAATGAAAAATGAAAATTAAAGTGAAAATTGCCAAATTAAAATGAAAAAATGACAAATTTAAGTAAAAATTGGCTAACTTAAACACAAAAGGTATAGTTGCTCTGTTAAATAGTTGCTATAGTTAATATGAATAGCTAAACCTAAAGTACTTTTACTATAAATTAGCATAAAGTTAAAAGAACTTTAAACAAAATAAAATTGTAATAAGGTCCAGATGCTTTTGAAAAAACGTTTTGAATTTTTAGTGTCAAATAAACAGGCCGGTTAGTTTATACACAATTTCAGAGTACCTTAGAAAAACCTATGATATGAAACCCCTTATTTAATTGTGGGAGGAACTCATAAAACTTGGATAGTAATTCTCCTAGTCATAGCTTCACAATAAAAATATTCAGTCTTTACCTACAAATCTGCACCAGGAAGAGCATCAGATGGTAAAGAATTAATTTTACTCTTATCACAGAACCGTAGCCAAAAAAAAAAAATTAAATAATAAATAAAAAAAATAATCAGAAATTATACCTGCTTTTAATTCTTCAGAAGATAAGTCTAAATTGGATAAGTCTAGGTTATCTTCAATATCTGTAACTGATTCTATAGATTCTATCAGATCTGCATTTACGTCAATTCTATCGTATTCTCCAATTGCATCAAATAACTGTTCTTCTGCCTCTAATCTATCATCAAACCCAGGTAAAGATGTTTCTGAGAAACTGGTACTGCGTTGATAGTAATTAGATTGCATTTGAGGCGCAGGAAATGGACTTACAGGGTACAACTTACAATTATCTCGAGAGTTCTCTCTTGGCATAAATTGTTCTTCATAGTTTACTATTTGCAAGTTAGATTGCAAATCAATGTCTTCATTAAATAAAGATAACTGAGGATTAAAAGAAAGTTCAACTGCCTCTCCTCTAACTTCCCTACAGCGTTCACTATGGCCAATGCTGTGTGCACTAACATTGCTGCCTTGTCGACGATGAGCAATGTTATTAAGTCTTGTATTATAATCTGAGACATTAAACTTATCTTTAAAAAAATCATATTGCCGACTGTCTTTTAATAACAAATCTGATTCTGATTTTAAATTGTTTTTATTAGTGTCATCAGCATTTTTATCATCTTGAGGTTCAATGGTTTTTAAAGATTTTTCAGTTATTATTTTTTCATCACTACATTCTGTTTTTAAATAAGCTTTAGAAATCATTTTTTCATCACTACATTCTGTTTTTAAAGAAGCTTTAGAAATCATTTTTTCATTATGACATTCAATAGTTAAAGATTTCTCCATTATTATATTTTCATCACTGAATTCAGTTTTTAAAAAGTTTTGAGTGGCCATTTCATTATTGTAATATTCTACATTTAAAGACTTTTCACTAATCATTTTTTCATAACTACTCTTGGCTTTTAAAGAATTTTCATTGTTTATTATATTATGCAAAGATGTTTTAATATTAATTTCATTAGAATTTTCAATAAGATTTGTTTCACATGCAGAATCTTTTTTTGATGATACTTCTGAAGAATTTTTACAAAAAACTTCTGTTTCAATATAGTCATCTGCATTCCCTTTATAATTAACTTCATTGGGTTGCAATTGCTTTTCTAATGTGTACAAAATAACATTGTTTAACAAACTATCTGGAGGAGGTTGTGATTCAATAGTATAGCTAGAATCATTCAAAGATCTTTTTACATTTGCCAGATTATCAAACTCCTTTTGAGAATCAATAAAGTAAAATTCTGGACTGCTAGAGTTATCTATAATATCATGATGTAATTTCTCCTTGGGAGTGTGAGAGGAACACAGTATATATTTGGTATCTCCCTCATTTTGTGCAACTTCTGTTTTATATGAGTGTTCCTGGGTCATAACAATGTTTTGAATACTTAATTCATTTTTATGGTTTGAAGCATCCTTAATGTTATTCGAAATCATGTAAACTTTTTGATCATTAATAAAAGAACTATCATCTGCCTCAAAAGAACTTGTTCTTTGAAATGAATTTTCAACAGGAAGACTGCCATTAGAAATCTTTAATAGCTCATCATTAGGCTGAGAGGGATTTTTTAGTAGCTCTTCGTTACACTGAGAGACATTTTTTATTAAAGTTTTACCTAAACAAAACAAAAAAGATTAAAATAATTAAAGTGCAAAAAATAAAAATTAATTAAAACAAAATAATAACAAAAGAATAAAATAAAAAAAAAAAAAAAAAAATAACAGAAGAATAAAATTAAAAAAAATAATATTAACAACAAAAAAATAAAATAAAAAACAAAAGAATAACAAAAGAATAAAATTAAAAAAAAATAATAATAATAACAAAAGAATAAAATAAAAAAGCTTTAACTTTACGTACACTTTTTTGACTTCTTAGTTTGTTTTGGTGTAGTTCCTTTTGAAGTCCCTTCATAAACAATATCTGATGGAAACTCTTTTTGTGAAAGATGTTCAAACAACTTTTTTTTATCATTTTGATTCTTTTCATCTTCACAGCTTGATTCAAGCGGTTCAAATGGTCTTTCAATTTCTGTACTATTAGAGTCACTTTCATTAGACTTTTCTGATGAGCTTTTTTCTTGTCTCGTACTTCGTAAAATTGTGTTGGTTTTGATTGATAAGTTTTTTATATTAGACAGAAGTTTGTCAGAATCACTTGCAGGGTCATCCTCAGATTCTTCTCGCGATGTTATTTGCTCTTTTAACTCTTTAACTTTATATTTCACGTCATTGATTGCAACTTTTACGATAGTTTCTACTTTCAAAGCTACTTCATCTAAAATTTTTTCCAGTTTATCTTGGTCTTCAAAGTGATTGATAGAGCTTGAACGATCAACTTTCTTAAAAGGATTGTTAAAATCTAAAACATCTGTGATTATTAAAGGAACTGAAGCAACTGTTTCAAAAATAATTTGGCGAAGAAAATTTGTTTCCCCCTTGGATAAAACATACAACTCATTTCCTGTTAAAGCAACATCTACGATAAACCCAAGATTACTGTGGCAACCAATAACACATCCTGTTGTTGGATCAATGACCCATAAACAGGAACTTTGCCAGGAGACTAAGAATCTTTCACTAAAAACAAGCATTTTACCAAACTGTTTCTGTTCATTTTGTATTAAGGAATCAGAATGGGATGGAAGATCAATAGTTAAAATGTGGGGTTCCCCTTTGTAGATCGAATCCTTAAATATCATAGTTGAACACACTTTGCCATCCACTGAAGCACACCATAACCGCAAACCAGGTCGGGCAGCATAAATACACAAGTCATCTGGAGGAACAGTACTGTATGGTGGAAAAAAACATGCTCCAAAGTTACCAATTCTATAACAAAAAAAAAATTCTAAAAAATATCATAAACTAATAAGGAATTATATAGATATTATATAACTAATAAGATATTATAACTAATAAGTATTATATAGATATAAGTATTATATAGATATAAGCATTACTAAATAAAATAAAAGTAAAAATTTTAAACATTAAAAAAAATAATACTTTCTAGATTTTAAACTGTTATATACTTGACATGATCTGTCAAGTATATAACAGTTTAAAAGAATAAATGATTTTAATAGTAAATTATATTTAATGGATTCTGATGACAAAAAACATCTGTGGCTAGAAAGTTTATATTCAAAAATAACTAGAAAATTAATTAGAAAAAAACTTTAGTGTTTTAATTAAGTTGTGACAATAGGAAAACATTAAATCACCAGATGTTATTAATGATTTTCCAGTAACACTAAAATGCGAAGACAATTTTACAAGGCGAAAAGTGACTTAACACTACGCTACGCTATTTACATTTAGCTTAAAACTTTTTGTTTGGTAATATTTAAATAATTCTATAAATATTTTTAAACGAATTTTAAAGAAGTTTAAGTTTTTACGTTTATTTAAATGGTATTTAACAAAGTTAAATACCATTTAAATAAAAAAAGTTAATGTTTTAAAAACTGCACACACCATTGTTACAAAAAAGTTAATGTTTTAAAAACTGCACACACCATTGTTACAAAAAAGTTAATGTTTTAAAAACTGCACACACCATTGTTACAAAAAAGTTAATGTTTTAAAAATTGCACACACCATTGCTACAAAAATTTAAACTACAAATGCATAACATATGCTCATTATTTACAAATATAATAAATTCAGATAATGAATATTAGAAATACAGGATTAACCTTAGTTAAAACCTTAGTTAGTAGAATAACTTTAGCTTTAACTTGTTGTTTAAAATGTTAAGGTTTAACATGATTGATTTTAAACTTTAGCACAACCATTACTATATATCAGTTCAATAAGCAAATTTTACATTTTCAGAATTATCTATTTTTTAAACCTATAAGGCTTTTACTCCACCTTTTTATTTTATTTTACTAGAAATAAAACTGTGCGTTAAAGTTAATAAAATAACACCAGTGTTAATAACACAATTTAATATATGTGTATATATATATATATATATATATATATATATATATATATATATATATATATATAAAAAAATAGCATCATTGCATAAAATAATTATAATACATATATATATATATATATATATATATATATATATATATATATATATATATATATATATATATATATATATATATATATATATATATATATATATATATATATATATATATATATATATATATATATATGAAACAGATCCTGATAATGCCAACCTACATGACCCAAGAACACCACTTATATGAGGTGATAGCATAAACCGTAAATTTTGACTTTATAGTGCAACAATAAAAACACCTGTAAAATGAGAAACACAATTTATAATTTAATAAAAATTGGCGCAAATGTAGCATAAAGATGCACTAAACTCTGCTTAAAACATTAGCTGGATAGGTTAACTGGTTAAGAATTAATGGCAGTTTTAATTTGTATTTTGGTAGTTTTTTCCTACCTTTACCTTATAACATTAGCGATTACAATTATATTCAGTCACTATTTTCAAAATAATGGTTACACATGTCTTCTACTATGTAATACCAACAAAATAATGGTTACACATGCCTTCTACTATGTAATACCAACAAAATAATGGTTACAATTGTCTTCTACTATGTAATACCAACAATTTTTGTTATAATAGTTTTAATGCTACAACTAACATTTTCATTTTATAGACCAAAATATTGATTTGCTATTTAAAGCATGGTTTGACTTGGCTTATGCATAACTTGAAAATATCAGCATTTTCTAAGGTTTAAAATTCTGTCAAAATGCAAGAAAATGTTAAAAAATGGTTAAATATTTATATTTTTTTAATGGTAAAACATTAAAAATATATAAATATTTAGATAACATAACTAAAATAAATGATAAATAAAAAGTTTGGAGGGCCAGTCAGAGGAATATCTTATGTAAGGGAGTATAGTCCTTTAAAGATCAGTAAAAATCTTTTGTAGAATGAATAACTTAAATAATTATTTTCTTTAAAAGAAAGAATTATGTAAGAACTATCTCCTTGTAACTTAAGTAATTATTTCCTTGATTTTAATTGTTTGTAAATAATAAAACTTGTAGTTATGTTAATGAATTGTTATCCAATATAAATTCTGGTTAAATTTTGTAAAAGGGATAGTTTGATTTAGTCAAGTTGAATTTAGTGAATTGCCACAATGCCAAATCAAGCAAAGGTTCACAATGAAAATGCAAAAATCGTGTGCTTGCTCTGTCTGAAGAAATGTTTAAGACAACTTACTGCTTTCCAAACAGATTAAATATGCCAACTGTACAAGACAAAAATCAATATCAGTAATTATCGGGTACCACAAATTTGCCTTCAATCTTTAGTAGCAAAAGATGCCAGAGCAGCTGAACAAATTGCATCTTGAATTTATTTCCAATTAAGAATTATCCCCTGAAGTAACTATTCGACTTGCTAAAGCATCTGGCAGCCCTCCACTTACAATTACCCCAGGCAAATATCTATACTCTACCCCAGGCAAATATCTATAATCACCAGTTAAAGTATTTTTGAATGCTTCAATCACATAATTAAAGCATTCAAAAGTTTCAATCTGAAGTATAAATCTTGCTTTAGATTTATACTTCAGCCAGATTTTGCAAAAATATTGAAAATTTCATAAGGTATTACTTAATGAGAACTGGTGCAAGCGTAACACCCAAATTTCATACTGTCTTCTACCACATTAAAGATTTCATCAGTCATAAAGGATTCTCCTTGGGGCCCTATAGTGATAACGTTACTTAATGATAACTAGAACAACACCCTCTCATACCGTGTTCTATCACATCAAAGAACTCATCAGTCGCAAAAGATCTCCCTTGGGGCCCTGTGAACAAACTATCAAAACTGCTTATCAAGACTTATATAAACATTGGTCAAGGTAAAAACTAATGAATATTTAAACCATTTTAATTCTTAATTGCTGTTAGTAATTATGAATTTTTATATTGCATGTAAAAATATTGAAGAATATTTGACTAAAAGAGTATATTATTTTAAATAAATTTCTTGTGGAGAAAATCAAAGACTATGTCTTACAATTTTATCAGATGCTATTTGATGGTAATATAATGTAAAAAAAAATAGGGTTTATATAGTTATTTTTCACTTTATTTCAAAAGTCAATGTATTTAAGAAGGTTTCATAAGTCAATAAAAATTATTTTAACAGAAAAGTTTTTTTTGTTTGTTTTCTAAATGATAGTCCTTTTGCTGGGTTTAGCACTTTTTCAAAACTTTTTTTTTTGCATTTTAGCAATAGTTTATACTTAATTAAATGTTGAGATAATATGTTATGCATAAACTGATTCAAACCACGCTTTAAATAGCAAATCAATATTTTTGTCTGTGAAAAATGAAAATGGTACATGTAGCAATAAAACAATTATAATAATAGTTGTTTATATTACTTAGTAAAACACTCATGTAACTTTTATATTGAAAATAGCGATTGAATACCACAGTAATTAGTAACTTTTTAAAGTCTTGAAAAAACTAACAAAATAAAACTGCCATAAATGCTCAACTAATAACTAATCTGACTGAAATTTTATCCAGAGTTTAGTGTGGCCATAGGCTACATTTGCACCAATTTTAATCAAAATATATGTAATAGTTCTCATTCTACAGGTGTTTTTACTGTCGCACTATTAAGTCAATATTTCACTTAATTTGAACATTCAAACTAAATTATTTTTCACTGACAAAACTAAAAGATTTCATATTTGCATCACAGGATACCTTGATGTATACACTATTAATCCATATTTGTTCTTGGTTCAGCTAGGTTGACATTATCAAGATCTGTGCTAATCATGATAGATATATATATACATATATATGTATATGCATATATAAATATATGTATATATATGTATATATATATATATATATATATATATATATATATATATATATATATATATATATAGAGTCATAGCAGTCCTGTATAAAAAATTATTAGTTAATTTTATCGTCCTCTATTCAATTTTTATTGACTTTATTGTTTTTATTGACTTAACTACATTTACTTAATTTTACTTAATATTTGATATATATATATATATATATATATATATATATATATATATATATATATATACACACATTATTATTACTATTATTATTATTAATTTACTGTACTTACAAAGTTTTGAGTTGCAAATAAAAAGTTATATGCAGTTTTAAAAGCTCTTTTTAATAATCAATTATGTTCTCTATTTAATTATATTTAAATTTTAGATATTTTGCTTAACATAGTAAATTTTAATTATAAAAATGAGTAAAGCAGGCCATTCAGGGGGGAGAAACAAAACCCTAGTTGCTAATTTCTAAAAATTCTAAAAATAAATATTCTCAGTAATATATAATAAAAATAAATATTCTCAGTAATATTCTAAAAATAAATATTCTCTCTAAAAAAAAATATTCTCAATAATAAAAATATTCTCAATAATAAAAAGTCTTCTAAAAATAAATATTCTCAATAATAAAAATAAATATTCTCAGTAAGGTCAGGTCAGGTTTTCCTGCTACTGGTAACATGTAACCCAGTACAACCTGCTCCATGTCCTGCTGCCTTGTAGGATACGCTTTTTTAGGCAAAGGCTAGGAGAAGTTAACTCCGAATTAAAACACCCCCTGCCTTGGGGCTCTTGGTTGAGTAAAGGCTAGAGATGGTGTCTCGATAAAAATACTCATCTTGGGCAGATGTTACATGCATCCAGCTGCTGTCTTGTAGAAGGCCTCCTAGGCAAAGACTTAAGGGGTAAACAGATTCTATCTGTTGACCAGCCTTGCACCCCTTCCTCATCTATTAGGCTGGCGCAGATGTATTCTTAATACATTGTTTCCAGTTTAGGATGTTGAACGCTGGATCTTCTTGACTCAATGCGTGGGTATTGCTTGTGTCTCTATTTTTATGACTGGGCAACTCATTCTATTATCTCCTAATGAGGGTACAGCTCTAAAACTCAGTTTTATGGTTCTGAGGCCGGCTGGTAGTCAGGTTTCCCGAACTCTGTGGTAGCTCTCAGAGAGGCTGATTCCATCAACAGCCGAAAAATATCAGAGTACTAACAGTGCCATGTTGCGCATGGATGGTGTCCCTGTTTGTACTTTTGGTGTGCATTGCAGAGACATTTGGAGCCCTTTGTTACGGCTTAGGGTTTATTAAGAGTAATGAGGCTATTGCTTAGTTGTTAAATAGTGTACTGAGTACTATCTATACTTGAGTCAAGTTCTTTATAAATTTAAAATGACTAAAGTACCTAAAACTAAAAAACACAAAAAACCATTGTCATCACCAAGTTCTCTAAACCTATCATTTACTAATATTCGTGGTCTTCGAAGTAACTTTTCTTCTGTTGAGTCTTATCTCTTGCAAAGTTCACCAGACCTACTTGCTCTTTGTGAGACTAATTTAAGTTTGGCTGTCCCATCTTGTGATCTTAGTGTTGATGGTTATCTTCCTTTAATTCGTAAAGACTCCAATAATCACATGCTTGGCCTGGGCATCTACATTCGTAAGAACTCACCTATTTGTCGTGAAACTAGGTTTGAATCTACAGACTATTCATTTATGTGCTTTCGTTTAGCACAACTTCACTCTATCGCCTTTCTCTTTGTTCTATATCGCTCTCCTTCATCCCAAGATTGCACTATTCTTGATGTTATTTCTGATCAAATTGACCAAGCCCTCTCTCTTTATCCATCGGCCAATATCGTCGTTGTTGGTGACTTTAATGCCCATCACACCGATTGGCTTGGCTCTAGTGTCAGTGACTCTGCTGGCGATAAGGCCCTCAACTTTTGCCTTTCTCAATCTCTAACTCAAATAGTCAACTTTCCAACTCGTTTTCCAGACAACCCTTATCATTTACCTTCTCTACTCGACTTATGTCTTGTTTTGGATCCTAGTCAGTGCTCAATTTCTCCACATTCACCCTTAGATACTTCTGATCACGGTTTGATCTCTCTAAAACTATTATCAAATTCTTCTACTTCATCAGAATCCCCCTATCATCGTACCACATACAACTACCTTAAAGCTGACTGGGACTCTTTCCGTGATTTTCTTCGTGATGGCCCTTGGGTAGAAATCTTTCGTCTTCCTGCTGACAAATGTGCTTCTTACATAACTTCGTGGATTCAGGCTGGCATGGAATCTTTTATTCCCTCTCGACGATTCCAGGTCAAGCCTCACTCTTCTCCTTGGTTTTCCTCACATTGCGCTGCAGCAATTTCTAATCGAAACCGTTACTTCCATATCTATCAGCAAAACAATTCTCCAGAAAACAGACATCTGTTCACTATCGCCAGAAACCATTGTAAAAAGGTTTTGTCTGACGCCAAAACTCGCTATTCCCAGGTCATTAAATCTCGTATCTCATCACAAAAATTAGGCTCTCGAGACTTCTGGAGAATCTTTAACAGTATCAATAATAAGGGCAAATCTGTTATTCCTTCTCTCTTGTATGGTTCAGACTTTGTCACCTCACCTAAAGACAAAGCTGAATTGTTTGCTAAGAACTTTTCATCAATATCATCTCTTGATTCCACTAGTTGCGTTTTACCTGACATAGCCGTCAAACAGGTTGATCCCTTGCTTGACATTCGCATCACTTCAGCTTCTGTATCTAAAGTAATTTCCTGCTTAGACTCTTCAACAGCTTGTGGTCCTGACAACATTCCTGTTGTAGTTTTGCAGAGGTGTTCTCCGGAGCTTTCATCCATACTTTCTAAACTATTTAACAAGTGCTTATCAGAGTCTTGTTTTCCATCATGCTGGAAAGCAGCATCTGTTATCCCTATTTTCAAAAATTCCGGAGAGCGATCTGATTCATCTAACTACCGTCCCATTAGTCTTCTTCCTGTCATAAGCAAGGTTTTTGAATCTTTAATTAACAAACACTTAATCTCTCATCTTGAATCAAATAACTTACTTTCTGACCATCAATATGGATTTCGGTCTTCTCGTTCTACAGCTGATGTGCTAACAGTAATAACCGATAGGTTTTACCGTGCATTAGATAGAGGTGGAGAGGTTAAGGCTAACGCACTTGACATTTCTAAAGCTTTTGATAAAGTTTGGCATGCTGGTCTTCTCCATAAGCTTTCTTCTTATGGTGTAGCTGGTAACGTCTTTAAGATTATTGAGTCCTTTCTTTCCAATCGTAGTATAAAAGTTGTCCTCGATGGACAACACTCTTCTTCACATCCTGTAACTTCAGTGGTTCCTCAAGGTTCAATCCTTGGCCCTATACTCTTTTTAATTTACATTAACAATCTTCCAGATATTCTCACATCTAAGGTGGCATTATTCGCTGACGACACTACCATTTACTCTTGTCATGATAAGAAGCCTACACTCTCTGATTGCTTGGAGGGGGTATCTGAGCTTGAAAAGGATCTCACTTCTGCTACAGCATGGGGCTCACAGTGGCTGGTGAACTTTAATTCAGATAAAACTCAATTTTATTCGGCCAATCGTTATCGTAATAATTTAGATCTTCCTATATTTATGAATGGTAATGTACTAGATGAGTCATCTACCATTCATCTTCTGGGATTAACTCTTACTTCTGATCTTTCTTTTAAACCGTATATCAAATCCATTGCAAAATTAGCATCTGCTAAGGTTGCATCTCTTTATCGAGCTCGACACTTTCTTACTCCAGATTCTATTCTCTATCTCTATAAATCTCAAATCCGTCCCTGTATGGAATACTGTTGCCACATCTGGGGCGGATCTTCTAATGATGCTCTTTCTCTTTTAGACAAGGTGCAAAAACGAATTGTAAACATAGTTGGACCTGCTCTGGCAGCCAATCTCCAACCTTTGTCACATCGTCGTAATGTTGCTTCTCTTTCTCTTTTCTACAAATACTATAATGGGCACTGCTCTAAAGAGCTAGCGTCCCTTGTGCCATCTACTAAAATTCATTCTCGTGTTACTCGCCATTCAATTATGTCGAAAAATGGAACTCAAATGACTAAACATATTGAAAAATGTCGAAAATGTCCTGGTGAAGTAAAAAGTCTATATGCAAATAAATCAGGTCATAGTCAAAAACAGCAAGACTCTCCTGCAGATGCTGAACCAAAAACAAAAAATCCTCAATCAGATTCTTTTGGAACATCCTTGTTCTGAACCAATTTGTAGAAGTAAAACACCAAGTTCCATGTTTGACAGCATGACAAAAACTGAAAAGGTGTGTAATGTATTTTTATAATTAGATAATGAACTTTCAAAGATTTCAGCAAATGTTAAAGAAATGATAGCAACTGCAGATTATCTTGGATTGATGTGTGATGGATGGAGCAATTTAAGGTACAAAAACATTTTTTTATAATATTAGTTGATGCAATTGAAACTATATTATTTACTTAATATACAGATCATATTTGTTTATATGCTACTTTTTCTTTACAAAAATGAAGCAATCATTAACTTTGTAATGACATTGCCTTCTTCATCACCCATTTTGTGGAAGACATTGCCTACAGGTAAAACCATAATTCTTGTATTATATACAATGGATTTACTTAACAGACTGGTAGACTTTTAAAATATGCATACTATTTTATAATTAACTTTGATATAAAATTTATAACAAACAACACTGAAAACCATTTCAATAAGTAGAAATAAAGTATCAGTAAATACGTTTATAATATTTATATAGTACAGTATATATAATATATCCTAAACTGTTTTGTAGGAACATCAAGCCATTCTGGTGAATGTATGGCAAATGAAATAAAGAAAGTTTTAGAAGAAATAAATCCTAAAAAAGTTTTGGGCATTGTGACTGACAATGCTGCAAATATGAAAAATGCATGGACTTGTCTAAAAGATTGTTATCCCCATCTTCATTGCTATGGATGCATTTCACATGGTTTAAATTTGCTGTTTACAGACTTTAAAATTGGCAACTTTAAGTGTTTTGATGTCACAAGCAACTGATATTGTTAAAGAGATAAAAAATTCTTATTTATCTGTTGCAGCATTTAGAGATATACAAAAAAAGTCAGCTGATGCATTTCCTTGAAACTACCAGTACGAACTAGGTAATACAATAAAAGCATAAATATACAGTACATTACAAAAAAAATTGAATTATGTAACTAATTTTATTATACATTCATAAAAATAGATTTCATTTAGTAAATTACTTTAATCAAATTTAAGTTATTGCAATTTTTGTGTGTTTTATTTAAAGGTGGGGATCAACTGTAGCATGCTTAGATAGCATACAGAAAAATAAGCAACCATTAAAAACATTGGCTATTTCTGAAAACAGTGGGCTTAATTCAGCAACAAAAAATATTGAGAGAGAATATATATTGATATTATATATATTCTCTCTAAAAGTACCTACTCTTTTAGCCTACCTATCCAACATTTTATGATATTTTTTTTAACTTAGTGTCTCCTTACTTTTATAATTTATAACCCCCTGCCCTCATCTCATATACATTATTTGCAGACCGCTTCTCCTGCATCTAAGCCTACTTTATGGACGATTTCTAAGATAATATTTTATTTTTTTATAGGTATTTAATTACTAACATTCATATAAGTATGCATCTTTATGTTACATACATTCATTGGTTAGGTTTTTAACATATAGAACATGATCCTAAATAATTGTTATATTTAAAAACTGTAACACTCAACATACCCCTAAAAAACATCCTCTGAGAGTGATTCAAGTGTGAATAATCATGGTGATACTGTTACATTATATTAGTAATGAACTGCAGTGTTAACAGAATTTTTTATTTTTACAGATTTAAAGGTTTTCTATTAATAATTTTCATACATATGTTAGTTTTCATACATATGTTAAAACAGTGTTTCTCTTATTTATATTCAATAATAACCATTTATAATTTTCTTGCTCTGTAGCAGTTAGAACTGCAAAAAGCATGGTTATAAGCTCACATCAATGCAATTCATTAATTTCTACTGTTGTAGAAAATACAGGTGGTGATAAATTAACTTTCAATTTATTACCACCTGTATTTTTAAGTATAAATTTCTAATCTTAGCAAAGTTGATTTCTAGCAGGATAATATTTAGGATGCAGCTATAATCAAGAATTAACTTGTCAGTCAAAATTAAAGAAACAGGGAAACTAACCATTGTAAATTTTGATGATAAAACTATTCATGATTTAACAAGGACTATAGATGAAAAAAGGAACAGGCTCTGTGCACTGGTTAATTATGATGGTGAGAATCATCTATTAAAATTTCCAGGTCTAGATCATGGAACAGTATTTTGTTCAAATGTTAGCTTGTAGGCACCATGTTAGAGAAGTACATATAATACACTATTCTGCAGAAGTTGTTTTTGATAAGAGCGTAGGACCTGAAAACCAGCTTTTTAAAGCTCTAAATCAGAAGTGGGAGGAGGTTGTTCATGAAACAATGTAATAATGATTACATTGTTTTGCAGTCTTGCAAAATACTGTACATTTTTCGGAACAGCAATGTAAGTGAAAATTCTGAAATAATATAATTTTTTTAAATATATAAGTTTCTGCTGATTTTATGGTAAGTATAAATGTTTCTTACTTGTTTTCTGATATTTTTAAATATTTAACAAGTATCGTGTTCTTTAAATTTGATATTAGTTTAATTACAGTTTATTCAAAAAAAAAAATTCTACTGAAAAATGAATTTGAAGATTACATATTTTATTCACAAATTATCATTATATTACAGACTAAACCTGGTGCTAAGGCAGGTTTAAAGTCTTGGAGGATTATACTTGGTATCTTGATCCAGCTTTGGTAGTGATGGTCTTAACTTCAGAGGATGGTGATTATTTTCTCATGGCTATCAAAAGAAAGAGTAATGATGAGTTTGGACCTAAGAAAGTAAAGACGCTATGCCTTTAGAAGAAGTTTAGTTTAAAGTTATGCTTTAAGAAGAAGTTTATTTTTAACAGAAGGAGAACATACCTCTCTGATATTTTAGAACTTAGAGAGGATTGTGTGCTTGGTTGATAATTCCCTAGAATTATTGGAAGAACTTTTCTAGTTATTTGAATTCAAGCAAAAGCAAGTTGCAAGATCACCACCAGTTAAAGAACAAATGAAGAAATCAATCTTCCAGAACTCTTAGCTAAACCCACTTCTGATTTTAGTTTTCCCTTCTACATCCACTTGAGTTCTTCCTTAGATAGTGTAAACTTAATTTTTTTTTACTTTTATCATACAATGGAAGTTACAAAAAAATGTAGTTATCCCATCATTTGTAAAGGATTTTTTCTGTGTTGCTAGTAATTTCTTCAATATCAGTGAATAGCAAGTTTGATTTTTCAACAGCCTGATAAATAGATTCATTTTGTTTTGAAGGAGAATAGTTGAAATATCTTTTATTTTAAAAAACGAAAGCAGGTAGTTTTTACTAGATTTTGAGATTAAAATATTTTAAAAACTGCTTTTCCAACAGCATCTATATTCCTATGAGTCAATGTTTGTTTTTTTAACAAAAACTTATAACAATGTAAGTAAATAATTAATCCTCCAATCATCAGTTTGAAATAACATAAGTCTAAAATAGTTCATGTGCACAGATTATAAAAGGAGTTTCGATTAAAAAAGGAGGTTTAATAATAGGTTTAATAGTTGATGTTATTTTATTTGTCTACTATTTTTGTACATTAACTTTTAAATTGTTTAAATTTTTATATAATATAATTTAACTATTATAAAATTATTAATTAAACATAATTTTTATTTTTAGAAGATTATTACAATTAATTACCCCCTAATGCTTTACAACATATGAAGATGTTTTTAATTTTGAAATTTTTTTTTAAGGGGATGTTTATTTTTAATTTATAAGGTTATTCAAAATTTTAAACATATATAGGCATTTTTTATACAAGGTTTTTTATTTTTTTTTATTTTTATATATTTTTTATTGCAATAATAAAAAATATATAAAAATTTTAACAACATTAAATTGTTAAAAAAGGGAGCAATAGAGAAAATATATTAAAGTAATCAATATGTGGATAATAATATGCTTTATTAAATTATAAGCATAATTAATATTGCGTTCCCCTTTCAGAAAAATCACATAACATAAAAATGAAAAACAACTGTAAACATGACACAGATAAAAAAATTACAGCTTGCGTTCTTGTACCCCCACTTGGACAATCTTCTTTGTGTTAAAAGGCCACACAAGTGTACGTCTAAGTGTTGAAATAAGAAGGGCTGTATGGCAAAATGATAACTGTGTCACTGGAGAATCTTCCTTGCATATAAACACAGTATGAGATATGCTCTATAGAAAGAAAAAACAAATATATTAGGTTCATATATATCCACTAGTGATATAAAGACATAGTAATATAACAACATCTGCAAGTGATATAAATAAAAATTACTTATAACTATAGTTATAATCAATTAACTTTTTTAAATACGCTAATTTTCTAAATTAATCTAAATATGCTAATTATTCTAAATTAATTTAAATATTTTTAAATTGATTAAAAAGATTTGATTAAAGTCATTATTGATATGTAGATATTTTTTGCGTCATATATTAACATATAGCAACTCAATCATAAGACCTTGATTTATTCTTTACTAATACCATATAATGTAACAATTATGATTTCCTTTAACTTGACTAAGTTTTGAAAAAGTGCTTAAGATTAATTTAAAATGATATGCTGTCAACTTGATGTCAAATTTCAAGAACTGATAACTACAAAGATGTATTCTTATTTAGAATACCTATGAGAACATTCTTATTTAGAATACCTATGAGAACATTCTTATTTAGAATACCTATGAGAACATTTTTATTTAGAATACCTATGAGAACATTCTTATTTAGAATACCTATGAGAACATTCTTATTTAGAATACCTATGAGAACATTTTTATTTAGAATACCTATGAGAACATTCTTATTTAGAATACCGATGAGAACATTTTTATTTAGAATACCTATGAGAACATTCTTATTTAGAATACTTATGAAAACATGTGATTTCTATAAGAAATGGACACAGAAGTTGTTTACTGTCATTGTTTGATATATAGAATTCGACAAAGATTTAAAAAAAAGAACTATACTATAAAAAATGTTATTCAATTAAAAGCTGGCGTAATCCCTCCTGCAATTGTAATTATGATATTCTAGTTAAAGGTTAAAACAAGCAGCAAACTTGACATTCGAGATACAACAATTGTATTTCCTTGCATTTTCTAACTTGTATGATTTTACAATAAAATTCAACATTGTTTTTGTTTAGGATATAGTAAAAGCACAAAAAGTCTTTGATTTGGACAACAGTTGATTTGGTACCTTATTACAAAGTCAATAACAAAAACAAAAACAAAAAAAATTATTTTATATTATTTTTGTCAGCACCTTCAACAGATCAAATAAAACTATTGTTTAATATACAGCATGTTGTTTTAGTCTTTTCTTTACAAGTTTTATTTCTTCTCATAAGATTGCTCTGATATATTATATTTCTAGTATAACAATAACAATAGAATAGATAATAAACATTATAGTACTATTTCTAAAACTAAAATTAATAATTTTAAAAATAATAAGATAAAAACCTCATCCATATTTATAACAGTAATTGCAACATTTCCATCACTATCTGATGTAAACAATTTTGTACCATCAATTGTCCATTGTAAGCTAGTCACTGGGGTGGTATGATGAGACTCAACTGTACACTTAAGCGAAGTCTAGAAATGAAATCAAACTTCAAAAAAAGCAGTTTTCAATTTTATTTTTTTTAATAACTTT